TAGTCCCTCTGAAACAGTAAAAATTTTCCCATAATTTCCCACAATTCCCTAAATTTTCAACCAATTTGCCCAATTTCTCCCTATAATCTCACTGTTTCCTTTTCTAGGGGGGGTATATACACCGGCTGAAACGGCAAATTTTTATCTTGCGCGCCCTCTACTCGCACAACCTACTACCCACGAAATCTTAGTTTCTCCTCAATCCCACCCCTGATTTCGAGCAACTAAAGTGGGTACGACCCCCCCTCCTACAAACTCAACCAGGTACGACCCCCCCGTTGTTACTCGTAACAACAGGGTTGACCCCTGCTCCACAATCCCTTTCCAAGAAGGCGCGCGTTGCTTCCACTATGTGTCTGCGTTCATTGGTGCCATTGGTATCTTGCACGCCGCTGAATAAAACCGACGGTGACCTCTCTTCCTCTTTCCGATCTTCGAGTCTCATGCGGCAATTGAGTGCAGCGGCTTCTCAGCCACTCACAGCACTCTGTCCAATCCTTTATTGCCTATCTAGAACTATCCAAGCCTCACGCCATTTGCCTTGGAAAACATTATTCATGATGCATAGTCGTTTGGCCATACTCCTTAAGCGGATGACAACGAATGAAGTCTTTGAAGTCAGCTCCAATGCATATCCCAGTTTTAGCTAGCTCACGGATTCTCTCACAGCGGCGTTTCTCCGTGTCAGCTCTTCGCTGGCGCTGGGGTAATCCCAAATCAGGCCCACCATGAGCGCCTGTAGGCAGCACTCAGAAGGTGCTTCACAGGTACTGACCTTCAGGAAGTTGTGTTCCGGGTCTGCTGCCAGGAGCTGTCTGCTCACGGCTATCTCATTCTTCTGGAAAGCCGTACCCAATCAGTCTTGGCTCTCCATGTAACACCGTCTCCACGTCTTCCCACCTTAGAGACTCCAGCCAGAGTCGCTTGTTTAAATGCAACTTTTCCGATTTGTGTCGCATGTGTACAGTTTTGGACCAATTCACTAGCGTCACTATCTCACGTAATTCTCTTATTACCTTAGACATGGTCTCCTCAGACCACTTGCCTCGACGCAACAAGTCTTCCAGTAATCCTAGCTTTTCATAGTCGACTCGGTAATCATTCTCATCTTCTCCACCAATCGTCAAGTCTCCAGCACCGCTCGGCAGGCTCAACAGCCGAACACAGTGACTGTGCACCTCCACACGAGCGCTACCTTTCTTGTTTGCACTCAGAGACTCTAGGCGCCTCAAGGTGTTCCGAAATTCATGATCCAAGCGCCAGTCTATCCTGGTCCGATCCGACTTGCGAATTCGTCTAATACAAAAGGCGGCTCTCGCTTTATGCACCCCACAAGATAGGAGATGCTTTATGTCTTCTTTAGCAAACTCTTCAGTGTACTCTCTGGGTGGCAGCACAACATATTTCCCCGCTGCACTCCCATCTGGAGCATCATCGATGCGCCTATTGAAGAACTGTCTCAACGTTGGTATGGGGCGCCACGCTCCCTTCATCTTCATGATGGTGAACAATTCATCGACCACCGCATCATTTATCTCCGTGTATGCAGTTTCTGTTGACAGTTTCTCAGCTTCACTCCATGCTAGCAGCGGAGTTGGTTCTTCAGTTCTATGCTTTCTCTCCTCTTCTTGGTCTGCGACCCACCCGCGTCCAGCCGCAAAATGTAAGTACATGATGGCACTCACATCTGCCGCACTCAAACGCTCCATTGTTCCAGGATAGAAACTCGTTCTCTTGATGCACACATGGACTTTCTTAAGCACTGTCAGTAGCTCTGATCTGCTTAAGGCATGAACCTCGTATTCACGAAGGATGTCAAGTACTATATCTGCCCGTGGGTTGATATACAGTGTGATGGCAAAGAAAAGCAGCTGGTATAAGCCTTGATCAGTATGTGCGTGGTGCCAAAACATCTCCAACCACTCGCGTGCATGGAAGGTCAGGCCACCATCCACGTCCAACAGTTTGATCAGCAACTGCCAGGCTAGCCGGTGTGGAATACCAGTTGTCGCTCCTTCACCGGGCACAGCCCACGGGAACCTCTGCTCTAAAATTCGTAGTCCTTCCTCGAAATATGGCTCAGACAACAACTTCCAACCTCTCGGGTCAGCGTCTCGGCAGCAGCCATACTCAGCATCTACGGTCGGTGGCCATACGCCACCCCACCATTCTCCCTCCTGGTTACAGGCGTCGGCATGCCACCATGGGAAACAATGGTGGACCCACTCTAGTAGTGTCTTTTTGTCCACACTCCCCGTGGCTACCATAGCTTCCATTTCATATAGCTTGCCAAGTGGAACCGGCTTGGGTTCTCCATACATCCACTCAGGCAACAATCTGTTGTCGCACGTTAACTCGTATCGGTGTACATTATGCCTGATTTCTTTTCCATTCCAGTATTCGCTGATGCGGGAATTATCATTACTCAAAGGGCACTTAGACATTACAGTTCTCGCTATCTGTTCCACATCCGACGCTGGGAACCCGAAAACTGTCCCGCACCTCTTCATTATGTCTAGTGCCCCGGGTGAAAACCCGAGCTTTCTGTCCCAGAACCTTCAAGATTGTCAGGTATCGATTGGGCTAATTCCATTCTAGTCTTCTTCAAAGGTGGTGCCACTCCTGCACTGGACATAACCTCAGTGCTTGTGGGCGGCAGCGCCTCCTGTCTCTCGACCAGCCCTTGGTGTTGGCTTTGTGACATTCCCTCTTGCACATCTGCCGCCGTTAATCCAATGTTGCGCATATTTGCACTCGGCCTATTGGCCACAAGGCCGGTTGCCACGGCATCTTCGATAGCGCTCTGCCCGGCTCAGTTCAACACCTCGTTGCTCACTCTCTTTAGCCAACATCAGCATGTTCGCAGCTGTTTCCATCCTAGTGGGTTCCGGTATTGCTGACTCGTGACATTTAACTGCCATTACGTGTCCAACACCGCCCACTCTACCAATTGGTGGTGTCACATAGTTCTCCGAGAGTCCATGCAAATATCGCCTACTCGGACGTCCACCGCGGTTCAACTTGATTGCATAATGCTGATTGAATGGTCTCTTGTACTTATATGCTACTTTTGCTCCGTTATAAAGCAAGAAGCTACGATGTGTGTCCAACGTGGTAAATCCCAAGTCTTGGCCTCTCGAGCTTAGTATGATACCAATCCGGCTGGTGTAGCTCTTTCCGATCACCCCAGCTTCTGTATTTGGCATCAGCAGACATCGGTCTACTACGTGAACATCATCTTCTGATACTGCCACCCGCAAAGTAAAGAGATCTCAACATTGCTCGACATCTCGACTATGCTGTGTTAATGTCGGCTTGAAGTTGAACAAATGTAGAACAATTTCCTATTGGATCTCGCTGCGTCACTTTCAAGTAAGCTTCGGTTTCCACATAGTCATTGCGTATAATCCCAGGCCATACCGTTGGCAAGAACAAACACAATCCATACGCGCACTCGAACGGCAGTACTTGCATAATATGTCTGTTAAAGTTCAGCTTCTTATCCTGCAGCAACTTGCAGAAATCTACTCCATAGGCACTCTTTAGGTTGAGCACGTATCTCACTCTGCATTGAATCATCACTGGGACTCTCAAGCCAGTCATCGCTTTGATCGTTCCACACAACAATGCGGTCGCACTTGGTATGCTTCCGGTGGCCTCAGCGCCTCTGCCAGCATCGCCACGTAGTAGCGATTCATATGTGTTCAAGTATCCATCAATTATCTCTAATCTGGGATATGTCACCACAGCACCATTTGCCATATGGAAACCAAAGGGATGCAACTCTTGGAACAAATGCCAGCCTTGAACTGCCATGAAATGCACACAGTTCCAACCAACCGAGCTTGCACATAGTCTGTCTTTTCCAACTTGAAACTGCCCCAACACAACCGGTGGGCTAGGTGTGTTGGACATATTCTTTGTTGTAAACAGATAAGCCAAAGGTGGTGGAAAACAAGGACGAGGAAGCGTCAGATCAGCTCCAACGCACAATCCAGAAAGTGGTGCTTGGAAGTAAAATCCCTTCTCATCAGGCAGACCTTGGCCACCGAATAGCAAACATGCAACCCAGTAGCCTGCCGTACACTCTTCTGTCATCTGTAGGCGAGTTGCCACCCGCAGAATAGACTGCAAATATTGTGCCGAACTCATCAATTTCCCTTTATGCGTGTTTAGCCATTCCGCATAAGGCTGGGCCGCTGATGGATTGCCCTCAATAGGGGAGGCGCTTCCAAAGCTCACTACGGGTTGTTTCCCCGCATATGGTTCCATCCTGACACAGTTGGCCCATGGACGAATGCTCCTGGTAGTTCCTGTCATTTTCAGCTTAATTTTCAGAGGCGCCTCCGGGCACATCAAATCTGCCACCACTGCTTGATCGTAGAGGCTGATCCCATTGTCTTGAAAGTATATGCCTCGCCCCTCAGCCGCTTCACTAACATCCTTATATAGCTTGTCCATTGCTTCTCCATTTGGGTTTAGTGTGTGCCATGATAGTATAGGCTTGTAGCCGTTGTTATTCACTGTGATGTCAATTGACACTTCTTTGTCGTGCAAGTAAACTGACGCGGGTAGGTCCAAGTATACCCTAGCGTTCTCGTATAATATCTTGTCCGGTAGTGATAAACCCGCTTGTCGGTATGTTCCATCGGGTATCCAGTTGACATCTTTGTCAGGGACCCTCATGTACTCATCCTCTCCCAGATCTTCGACACCCCCTGCTCCTTATCAACCGCTTCTTCCTCTTCTTGACCACTTGATTCCTCAACGGGCTCATCGTGTGGTGTGGCCTCTCTAGTTTCGTCCATCGAGCTCATAAGCGAATACAACGTTAGCAAAATCAATATATGATTAGGTCGAAAACCGATAGCTGGCAAACAGTAGAGTTAACTCGACTATTTATTGCTTCGTAGAAACCTGAGTACAAAATGAAGTAGCTTCGATACACTGGTAAGTGAATAAGAATGAAGTAGCTTCGATACAATGGTAAGTGAATAAGAATGACACTTTGGCTAGGAACTGTCCGGCGGCAGTCTCAGACTTTACAGTTGAATGTTTCTACAAAAGTGGGATAACTCCCAACGACCTTAAAATCAGAATCCAGTTGCCACGCAACTGGTCGGTGTCGGCTCCAAGAGTAGACTGACTCACTGCCAGACAGTTCCCAGAGGCGCCTCCTCCGTTGCGCGGGCTCCTTTGAAAAGCCCGCGAACAAGAGCACCCTTCCTGGCGATCGATCTCGCCCGAGATCCCCTTCCCGAGACCCATATCGACCCAGAGATGTGCATACACAAAAGGAACTTCAACATATCGTAGGATAACACTAGCAAGGATTACAATAACAAGGGTTATCAAAGAGATACAACGGTACAATAGGTATTAACAAAAGGCACTCAACATTACTTTTACCCCCAGTAGCAGCTATCTTTCATTTCGTGAGCGAATAATTTATCGTAAAATCGTGATGATTTCGAAATATCGTCATCACAAATTGTTGCCTCGTTCAGGTGTCT